TAGAGATTTTGAAGACAGCTGGTCTAAAGCGATGTTCAATTTTAAAGTAACGGTCCACAGAAACAAGTCATTGGATGATTATGGAGAAGGAGATGAAACAGAACAGCGCACATCAGCCTAACTAGAAACATCGACAACCAGCTAACCCGAGAAAACAGCTTCACTTCGTTCGATTCACTTTTAACATGAGAAACACAGCAGCTTCCGAAAAGCCACAGCCAGTTGCATCGCACGAGAAGAAGAGTATTTCTAAGTGACTCATACTTCGAAAAGCTTCAAGTTTTAAACATGTTGATCAATTTCGTTTCAACAAGAACCAACTTCAAACATTGACAAGTTGAGTTCATAAAACAAACATGTTTTGACTGTCTTTTCAAACCCCTTTTCTTTTAAAGATCCACAAAATGAAAAAGCTTTGAACGATACATGCTACAAGAACTTGACGTTTGTTCAGTGGTGAGATATTTTTGGTCTTTAAGTTTCCAAAATTGCAATAATGTTAATGTAGGCGACACCAGTGAGCTATGACACGAAAATAAACGCGACAAAAGAGAGCAGGATAAATCATTTGATTATCTTTAACAGTAAAGCGGTATTTATTACCCCATACTACCGAAGTCTGCGTTCAATTTTTCTTCATTGAAAATAAAAGCAATAAAATCAGTTTATGTTTTACCTTCTTGTTGCAATTGCTATCATGCAACTGCAGTTGCTCTAAAAGTCCATTGACATATGGTTTCACTTTCAAATCATTGGGCTTTCTTTTGATCACTGTGACAGCCTGCAAGACACAATTTCACAAGAGTACCTAGTTGCGCACCAACACAAAGATATACCAAACAAGCAAGGAAAGACAACAAGTAAACAGAAGAAAACAATCTCTTATTGTGCGATTTAGACGCAATAAAATGTAGTATTTTGTACCTGTAGTTTGCATATAGCAGAACGAAACAATGTGCTGAGCCGGGGCTGGTTTAAGATTTGTATAAGTGTGTCCGGGATGTAAACAGTCGCATTGAAATTTCACTTTCGACTAGTCATACTATTAAATGATTCCACTAAAATGTTTTTAAGGCTCAAAGGCATTTCAGCCTCTAAACGTACGAGGATAGATGTGAGCCACAGTATAAAAGGAGTTGGCGGTACCAAATCAGTTTTTCAAAACTGATCTCGTAACAAGCCAACTTCATACTACTTTCCATATACTGAATTCATTTACTTCTTTCATTTACCAGCTTAATATACTGGCTTCATATACTAGATGCATAATTTTGATATAAACTATATATTTTTTAAAATTTAAAGTGTGTTTGATTTTACCTAGACACTTTTGGAATCCTGAAATAAAGATAGATGACATCTTCTCCATGTAACCAATATTTAATAACTCAAAAAGTAAAGAAAGGTTAATGCATCACCACCATGGCCACAGCTGCGTCGTGACATCACATCTTTTCAGATTTTGTACTGACCGTAAGCATAACGTGTCATTCTGTCTTAAAGAATATGACACTTATTGGCAAGCATGATATTTTTTTCATTTCATAACTTCCAATCTGATGATTTTGACTTCTTATTGCTTTCATTTCATGATACAATTGTTTGTTAATTGATAATACATTTTTATAGTCTTTATGTTTGATGTTCTTTTTAACAACATTTTCCTTGATTCCTTTTGCTTCCTCTCTTTTCTCTTATAAAGAAAATCATACATTAAGGTCTTAGAAAGATCAAGAATACACATTGTTGTGTATTCTCATGTGAGCAGTGAAGTCTTCAATGAAAATTTAATAGCAGTTCATAAGATCAAAGAAACACTAACTCTCACTGGGCCGGCATGTTCGCTTTCTTATATTTTCCATGGTCTTACCAAATACTGAGTTATTCATTAGTTTCAATAAGTCTTTTCAACTGGATTTTTAGCATTAGTTCTTATCCAAAATTGAAATCTATTGTGACCAACGCACCAGCAATAAATTTAAGAGGAGTTTAATTTTTGATGAGACGATCGAACTCTCCTATTTATACCCCATTGCCAGTGGTTTCTAAGTAAAGTATTACGAACATAATACATCAAGAACGGAACGACTAATTACAAGATTGGAAATAACAAGAAATACGTATAACACGGGAAATACTAATAACATAGGGAGCACGGGACACTAGACGAAAGAGCAATTTACCTGAGGATTTTGAAATAAGGCTGTATAAGAACGTACTTGCGATTGCTACTCGAGCTAACACCGTTATATTTGCATGATCCGCGCGAATTCAAACTGAAACGGATAGCCGCGCGGACTGGGGCTAAGAGGGGGATTGGTTTCTACATCTATGTACTGTTTGAGCTATAGAGACTAATTGAATTCTAATACTCGATGAATCTCTTTTATTTTTAATCCTAAATCAAGAAATAATTGGAAATTTCTATAATGTAATACGTGTTTCTCTTTCTTCCTTAAGGTTGGATTTAATTTTTCAACTTGTCCGATAGCTAAATTATATTTACTTCTTATTTTCTCACAATAATTTGTTAACATGTTTTTGTCACTTTACTTTTTCAGGAGCGATGGATAATCATTATGAATATCATGCAATTCATTAGGATACTCAGGATCAACCTCTAATATTAATCCTTTTTCATTGTTGCTAGTATATTTTGCAGGATCTAGTTTGTGAATCTTCTTTAGCCCAACCATAAAGGTTATCAGCGTCTAGATACATGATATACTTTGAGGGTGTACCCTCTTCATAATTTTTCATGTATTTATTATTAGCTTTGCCATATCAGTTAGCAATGTATGAAATACCACCTCTCATTCCTTTTTTAATGAACTAAAAAATGTCATCAATTCAAGTTTTATATCAGTCATTTTTAACATAGCAGCCTAAGACAAACCAGGATTAGTGAAATAGTGACATGGATCTAATTTGTAATATTGCATGTATATCTTTCTTAAGTTTTCAAATACATCAGCCAGAAGAACGATGTCTGATTTTAGATATAAATCATGACAGTCACCTATCATTTCAAGATTTAATCCATTCCAAACAGTTTTAGCATGTTTATAATCTTCATCTGAGATATATTCATCATTGATGATATCGTAAGACATTTTTCTTTGGTAATTATTATTCATCAAATTTATCAAAAAAATCCTTGTTTTATAACCTTAAACCGTTCATTTGGTAGGTTATTATTATTTATCAAGACGACCTCACGAACAGAAAAATGTAAATGAAAACCAATTTTAAACAACATTAAAGAAAAACCTTTTGAGTTTGCTCTTCTAGAACGTACTCACTGTGCTGATGGAAGCTGTGGGAAGAAATTTAAGTTAACGGAAAGAAAGCATCATTGTATAAGATGTGTAAAAAGCTGGCTTTTACTTTCTTTGTGGGTAACCAAGAATTAATGCCTCGTCATTGTGCCTCTCATTGTATTTAACGATGTATGTGAGGTGTGTAGAAGCGAAAAAAGCAAGAGAAGTACCAGACGCAACGCCAATACATCTTAGAACTAGAAGTCTTAATAAGAAGAACCTAGATAAACTTGAAAAGTTGTTTAATACTACCTATTACATTGCTAAGAGCGGAAGACCGTTTTCAGACTTCAATCAATTGTGCATTCTTCAAGTTAAGAATGGTGTTACATTGGGAGAAACTTATCTAAATGACAAAAGATGTCGTGAGTTTACAGAAGTGATTGCTGAGGTGACGAAACGGGATCAAAAGGAGACAATGAATAATGCTCAGCCACGCTTTTTCACCATAATGGGAGATGGTGGAACTGACACCAGTAACAAAGATTTGGAAATAATCGATGACACAATTCATCCATAGTCGCTGAACATGTCTAAAACCATGAGAATACATCTTTGGTACTTATTCCATTTACTTAACTGTTGCATTTCAACAATGTCGGATTACCATATTTCATCAATATGATTCACAATAACACGTGCTGAGTAACTTTCCGCTTAATCAGTCGATGTAATCAATCTACAAATTGTTGTCGACAACTTATACTATCTCTTAATTGCTTTTCCCATTTTTGACATTTTAACATCAAGTCCAGGTTTTTGTTTTGAGTTGATCATATTTCTTGCCAACCAACGACCCCAATGTTCTTTCTTTCTCAAGATTATTTTAGAGGCCAGTGTAGTTATGTCCAGGTAATACCCAACCTTTTATGGGGTTTTGAGATCACACCAATCATTTTGTGGATATCAACAGCTCCACCTTTGTATTTCTCATTTAAAAAGTACGATAAAAAATAAACAAATGTTGTTGTACTTAAATTTTTAATTTGATTGTTTTGATGTAATAGTATCAAATTTTTTTTGTTGGCATGGTTAACAATCTCTTCAAAGGGTGGCATTCCAAAACTATCAAAGTAATTTATCATACAATTTTTAACATATAGCAACCCAATGTAATCTACTCATATAAGAAGGATTTAAATTATAGATAAATGATTGCTTGTGGTTATGTGGAATTAATCCATCTCTTGATAACACAATTGTTCTTCGTATTTTTAAATATTCACATCATTTCATTAAATCGTAGTTGCTCAATAGTATGTTTTTATAAAATTTGGGTTTTAAAGTATTGCTCCCAGTAATGGTATGCCATTGAATGGGCTGTTTTTGCTTAGCAATAAGACTCCTCCCTTTTTTTTTTGTTTTATTAAGCTCCCATACCGATAGTTTTTCTTGGCCAATCACCTGAAAAGGGTGGTGATCAAAAAGCCTCCAAACTGGGTTTTTGTTGGTTTATATGAATACCTTGACCTTTTTTAATTCCATTAATAATGTCTAATCTTTGTTTTAGAGTAATAAATGAATGATGAGGCAGCAATTGATTTAAATTTTCAGGCCTCACAAGATAGCCACCTGATATTTTTTTGATTATTTGACTGACCCCTTCTCTTACAAGCCAGCAAGAATTTGATATATATTTTGAACTTTAACCTCTATTTTGTTCTGTATGATTGGTGTTCCAGGTCGAAAACTGAAGAGATTGCATCAGGGGTCTTTGTGATTGGAGCTATGGATAAAATTTCCAACAACTCGGAGACTCCCTCACAAGCCGAGTGGACCGTGTGACCATTTAAGAAGAGAAGTACCAAGTTGGGGGAAGGTGTGGTCTTTTAAACAATGTCAAATCAATGGGACAGTATACTACAGCAAGAGCTACTAAGTAATAGCAAGAAACAATTTCACAGTGAACTTCTCAGGAAAGAAACGATCAGAAAATGGCTTTGTCCTGAATTATGTAAAGTTCAGGGGAAGTGTTAACAGGCATCTTGTAGAGATACGCACTGTGACTGCTAACTAGCATTAACTACTATGCACTACTCAGAATTCTGGTTAAGCACAAAGAACAGCTACCCTATCTCAAGGGAACAATTGTGATTGATCATATCATTAAGGCTGCGGAGACAACAAAGGTTGCTGCTGTTCCTCTACAGTGCATTGACCAAAAGTGTAGGTTGGTGGCAACTTCAAACAGAAGTTTCATTTGCCATTTAGCAAACAGATTCCTGTAGTGTCCTGTATGTTCATTGTGACTGTTTTTATTATTATAGGATATGTAGTAGATATGTTGTAGATATGTGGTCTCGAGAGGTCAAACGATTAAAAACATGTTGTTGTTATGAAGCGAGTTGTTTAGTATATTAGGACGAAGACACCACAATTCGAAAGAGACTAAATGTGTAATTTCATCAATTTACAAATACTGTATAAAGTTTTGAATTAGAAACTTGTGTTTACATAATAATAACATTGTAAATTTTTTGTCCAAACAAGCCGAAGAACACTATACAATGACCCTGCCCTAAGTGCTCAAACCAGGACTGCTCCACCCAAAGTCCACTGCCGTCACTAATATACCACTGTGCCTTAAAGTCTGGTTTTCATTAGCGACGGAGTCGGTGTCAGAGTCGGAGTCGTAACAGGGCTTATGACCTAGAGAAAATCGAAAAACGGAGTCGTAAGCGGAGTCATAAACTCGACGAATCAGAACGTTTCCATTTCCTTCCGATTCCACTAATGACTCCGTCGCTTACGACCTAGTGAAAACTGCATTGTCGGAGTCGGAAGCGAAAGAATAAACCAATCCAATGCTTGTTCTCAGGATCTCCGAGTACAATTCGACAAACAACATGGCGGCTTCCTTAGACGAAAAAATTGCAGAGGCGGCGAGACGTTTCCCGATACTTTACGATAAACCATGCAGACTTTAAAGATAATAATACGAAAGAGAACGCATGGGAAAACGTAGCAAAGATAGCAGGGCTTTCATCAGGTATGTTTAAATTACAGAAGCGAAAGGCTGTCATCCAAACTTCGCCAACGTACTGTAACAGTATTAACTTGTTGCACAATCCTGCTAAATGTTTGATTGTAGCACTTACTGGTACATTCCTGCAACAGAATGATTTTAAAAAATGCATGTTTTGGTAGCAAGACTGCAATCTAACAAATCACAAGTATTATAATTTGTGGGGAAATGTGGATGGCACATAATAGTGTGTGAACTATTTATATCTATATTTACAAATGACCTTGAGAGAAAATTTTATCATATAAGAATTTAAGAGTCCTTAAAGAAAGAAAGAAACCAAACATAGATACAAGAAAAAAAGAAAGCTATTCAAATGTAACTGTCTGGCTGTTGCACATTATGCCAGAAATGCCAACATTGAGATAGGGTATTTCAGATCCCAGTACTGGCTTAACACATTCCTTCATTTTTAGGGGAGGAGGCCAAAACGTATTTCACTAATATGAGAACCTGATACACCCGTGATAGGAAGAAATTAAAGAAAGTCAAAGTTAGTGGTACTAGGTCTAAAGATGTATCGAAAGTGAAGGATGAGGTTGAAGATATGTTTTTCTACCTGGCTTGGCTTGAAAAAACGTCTTCTAATTTCATTACCATTGATTCAGGAAATGAGGGGTCGGAAGATGATGATACCCAGAATGTAGATGAAAAATCTAATACAACTGAGACAACAACCAGTGATGCTGACAATCATGCAGCCAGTAATTTTCGACCAACAAAAAAGCCCAAGTTACAAACGAAAAGAAAAAGTGCAGGAAAAAATCAGGATGTTCCAAATGCAGAAGTGCAAGTTCTGCAGTCGATAGGAGAAAAACTTGGGCAGAAGCAAACACCAGACTTCAAAGATAAAAATGAATGTTTGGTGTCTTGATAGCTTCCCAGATGCGACAGATAGCACCAGAGCGAAAAGTTGTTGCTAAAATGCAGATATCAAATATTGTGTAAATGTTAGCCCTATTTAACTCAATGCCTTTGTCTTACACTGGAGGGCAAGGATCATGGAAATATCCTCAACAGCAGATGCAGGAGCTGCATCAGGCACAGCAACATCAGCCTCAACAGCATCACAGCTTCCAGGATAGAGTGGTCAGGAATCAGAACCAAAAGCCATTTCAGATTCCTAACCTGCTGGAACCATCAGAAGTACCTCTCATGAAGCCTGGGCAACTTTTCTATCAAAATAAATCTCAGACTGGATTTCTTAATGATTTTGAGCAAGGTTCTTAAGTATTTCAAAATGTCTAAACAAGGGTGCTGTTTCCAACATTTTGATAACTATCACCAAAACATTGTTATTCTTTGAGTTTGATTGTCCACTATTTTTCTTTGGGAGGTATGTAATTATGCATTTCCTATCATCCCATGACAAACTTAATTGCAGTTAAGACACTAACTCTTGAATTAAAAATGTCAGAAAAGCACACAACATAACCTAGTGCTGATAGACTTAAGTGCATTGATGTACACATTGGTACAGTTGCACAGCTAAGCAGTGTATGTTTAGTGACTTAAGATTTTGATGCGGCTTCTAAACTACCGCTGATAAAAAGTTTTAAGTTTGATAGTATCAATACATCATTTGCTTGGTATCACAGCATGTAGATTTTGGCATTATCTGAAAAAAATTTGCTTATATTTTAAATGCGATAAGTAGAACCCATGCACAAATCTGGAAAAGACCCAGGTGAAATGTAAATTATCAACACAAAGCATATGCATTGGATTGCTTGTGGAATTGCTCTGCATATTTTAAACAGGTGAAAACATTTATGAAGGAACAAACAAAACTACAATAACTGTCAATTCTGATGTGTGGTGGAAGAGAAGAGTAATGTTCCAGTGGTGAGTGCAGTTATTTTGCTTTTACTACAAACGTTGTCTTGTTCTTTTACAGGCAAAGGTTACACATGTGTAATGCCATCAGATGCAATTGCATTAAATTTAAAATTGAACATTGTTTTACATTATAAATGAGTTCATAAATTACTAGACTTTATTTTTCCATAAATATGAAAGGAAGAAGGGTAACCTCTCAAACTGAATGAAGTTTAGGTGCTCTCTGTGGTAAACATATTGTAAATTAGAGCCATTGCAAAAGCAACTACTTAGTGTAACATATACTTTGATTCTTTTATGTTGATACAAAATACCCCATGCGACCTTGCTCAAAAGGAGCCATTTTTGCACCAAGTCTATGAATGCCTTACTTGCTCTATAATCAGCATTTTTAACATTTAATTTCATGAATCTAAACAATGCTCCAACCTTTATTGTATTTTGAATGTTTCTCTAGTGTCTCCATTTTGGTGAATCAGTGATGGTAGACTTTCTGTTAGGTTTAAGAATTCCCTCAAAGCTCCTAACACCATAAACGAATTAGTGTTGACAGTAGTTGGTTATAATTTTCTGATGAATCGTTTTTTTTTTGGCGGGGGAGGGGGTGAGGTAAAGTGCTGAGAGGTGATGGGGGACTTAAGTGAAAGAATGGATTTGTCAAAGGGAAAGAGACTTAAATGTAATACAAGATCTACAGCATGAATAAGCTAATTATTACATTGTAATAATTACAATGTTCAAGGGGGTCAGTCTTACAAGAAACAACACAGATGACAGATTGTTTGAGCAAAGTAAAGCAGCAATCATCATTGATGCTAAGCAATTTCTAGCCTCAAGATTTGAAGACTTCAGTTCCCCAGTACTAAAAGCTTCTTGTGTTATCAGTAATAATAAGTCTTGGCTAAAGGATAAAAACGATCTAGGTTTGTATGGAGAAGAGGAATTGGTTACTGTGGCTCAGCACTTTCAGGCAGTCCTCAGAAGGAATGCTTTCGACTTGGAAGTAGCAAAGGATCAGTGGCTGATCTCTAAAACTGTACTGTTATGACCACAAACACATTACAAACTTAAGTCAGGCTGAGTTCTGGGTAGAAGTATTCAATCAGGTGCATCCAGATGAAATTGATCTCTCTCACATGTTGATGGTGGTTGAGATTTGTCTGGCAATGGCAGTGTCTTCATCTTGCTGTGAAAGAGGATTCTCTTGTATGGGGAGACTCAAATCAGAGTATCGAAACTCACTTGATGTTGAAACTGTTGACATGCTCATGAACATCTGCCTCAATGGTCCAAGTCCCGAGGAATTCACAACTGAAAGGGCAGTTTTGCATTGGAACTAAACTTTTCAAAGAATGCGAAGGCCTTGATTAAAGGATCCATGACCTGAGCTTAATTAAGACAGCAATGGAGTTGATAAAACTGCTGCAACTGTAGGCATCTTGCAACTCTTACGTGTAACCGGGAAGAATTTATTGTAATACACTTATGTTGCTTAGCTATGTATCACTAAAAAGATACATGTACTAATTATATGGTTGCGTTTTATTATTTGATCATAATTTGGCATTTATTTACTTGCAGACACAAATTAAATACATACAGGAAAAATGTAAAGAGTGACCAGTAACTTTGCTCCCGGGATCAGTAAATTCTAAGCCTACTGGTCCTGTGGAAGACCAGAGCTAAAAGTTAAGTTCGAGCATTGTGTATTCCCATTGCCAGGAAACCGCACCTCGCTCTGAGTTAACATAAGCTTTCAAGGCCTCTCTCACTTCCATAGCATAATTACGATATTTTGAGCCTCTTATTGGGGGGTAAGCTACAAAGAGCACCGGACCCTTCATCAACTGAAGTGATTCTGTGCAACTCTCCTGGTAGAATATTTCTTGAGCCATCAAAGCTGTCCACAAAGCTAGCTGGGCAGTAACAAGCAGTATCTGTCTGCCTGAGATAATTGTGCAAAGCAACAGTTGCTGGTACAATTTTCTGCACTGTTTCAACTTTTGCTTGAATTGCTCTACGAAAGATCCTCCATCTTGCCGCAAGGATCCCAAAGCAGTTCTCAAAAAGGCCTAGTTCAAGTGGTATTTACAGGTTAATAGAAGTTAATAGTTAGCGTGAATTGTAAATAGGATCGCGTTTCATATCTCGTCACGCGTTTGTTTGATCGTTCGTTCTGTACACGTTATCGCTCCGTAGTTTTGTTTTTGTAATTTCTTCGCTATTATGGGCAAACCCAAACACTCTTCGCTCTGCCCCGGTTGCAAAACGCCGAAGAAGGATCATACCTTCGGTTTTCCAGGCAAGTACTGCGCTGGACCGTCCTTAACCCAAGAAAGTAATGCAGCACAAGAATTATCAGAGCACGCGACATCGCCGCCATGTCAAGTTGATTCCACTACTCAGCCCTTCAACGGGACACAGGAGCAGGATCAGTCGCAGCACCTTCTTGAAGCCATGCGAAACCTGTCTCTGCAGCTGGAAGGCCTCGCAAAAGAGCAGACAACGATGAAGAAGCGCATGGAGGAAATCTCCGTCGGGAACGCCCCCAAACCAGTTAACGAGGCTAGTCATCCAAGTGGTCCTGATAACTTGCCGTCCGTTAGCGGTGCCTCCAAACCCCATCATTTACCTGAGAAATTCGCCCCAGCTGCCGTAAATGGTGAGTACGTGGATTTCTCTGACGTTTTATCTGCCCTAAGTGTTTTGCGATCAAGCCCGAGCGACGAAGGGATGTTGCGCTCGCTTTCCGGTGACCTGATCGCTATCTCCAGGCCACAACGCAAGTGCCTCGTCGATTCCTTCGATTTATGGCTCCAAGTGTAGACCAAATACGAAATGGAAATTGTTTCAGCACAACCAGAGCGCTATTTGGAGCTGGCAGCATATCGAGAACAAATTCAACTCGCCAACCGCAAATTTCGTTGGCCTTGTGTGTACATGTTCGATATACAGACTCGCACACGAGCGGCCTCGCGCAAAGATATCCGTCTCGATGTCTTAGACACCACACTTTACACCACCATCCTTAACGCCTCCGCTCTCCGCGCCCACCCAAAGCAGTGTACACGTTGCAAGTCCTTCGATCATCTTGTTCGGGATTGTCCCTTTCTCGCGCAGGAGAAGCCTCAAGAAGCGGCAAAACCCGCGGGCACCAGCTCCCACTTCTCCGGAGCGAGCGCGCCTGACTCATGGAAATTCGACAAGTGGTTCACTGCTACAGGACAGGAGGGCTGCAACCTGTACCAGCGAAAATGGTGCAATCTCGGCGACGCCTGTAAACGAGCCCACGTTTGCAAAGCTTGTAGGGGGGACCACCCCAAGGCCGATTGCCCAGGCCCTGCCGGAAATTAAATCGCCATTCAACCCGCAGATGTGGCGCTCATGTCTGTGGGCACACCCGGACACTGATTTCGTAAATGATTTATTACATGACATTGAATTTGGAGTACGCATTGGTTATCAACCCGTTTCCCGTGATTACCAAATACACACCAATCATTTATCCGCGATCCTCAACCCTGAGCCCGTGGCCAGGGAGATCGAACGTGAACTTGACTTTAACCGTAAAGTTGGACCGTTTCTTACCCCGCCCTTTGAGAATTTCACTGGTTTACCTTTGGGTGCGATTCGTAAGAAGCACTCAGCGCCTGTCAAGTGGCGTATAATACATGATTTATCGTGGCCCGCTGGCCTTTCAGTTAATGACGGTATCCCCAAGGATTTGTTTACATGCACTTACGATTCGCTCGACCGCGCAATCTCACTACTCAAGCAATTTGGAACAGGTGCTCTAATGAGTAAACTGGATCTCTCTGATGCATTTCGACACATTCTGGTTAATGCACAGGACTGGGAACTTCTTGGATCTACCTGGCCTGTGGAGATCGATGGTACTGTTGTGCCCGGTTATTTTATAGACACCTTCCTTCCCTTTGGTCTTCGAAGTTCGCCAGCCCTTTTTCTAAAGTTCGTCGAGGGCCTCAAGTTTGTCATGTCGTCTAGGGGAGCCTCCCCCATTTGGAACTATCTTGACGACTTCTGGACTTGTGAACCACCTTCCCCGAATCCACATTGCCGGACCTCGCTCGATCTTATGTTGGGAACATGTGAGCATCTCGGCTTCACTACGAACCCGGCAAAGACAGTCCTGCCGACAACAAACTTGATTCTTCTCGGAATTGAATTAGATTCTCTCGCTCAGGAAGCAAGAATTGATCAAACCAGACTAGCCGAAGTATTGCATATGTTGGACAAGTGGTCATCACGTAAGCACTGTACGAAGCGTCAACTACAATCGTTGATTGGAAAGCTTCACTTCATTTCGTCTGTATGTCGCCCTGGAAGAACTTTCGTTCGTCGCATGATCGATCTACTCAGCAAAGCTAGCCACCCTTCAAATCGTATCCGTCTCACCGTCGCATTCCGTAAGGACATTCACTGGTGGCAAACCTTTCTTACCTCGTGGAACGGCTGTTGCTTTTTTTATCAAGACACATGGCTACCCAATTCTTCCTTGGAACTTTTTACTGACGCCAGCCACGCAGCCTTTGGAGCATACTTCGCTGGTGAATGGTTTTCCTGTTCGTTTTCCGCTCACCGCATTCCCCTCTCCAGATCCATCACCTTCAAGGAACTTTATGCAATTACTGCAGCGGTATCACCCTGGGCCCCTTCACTGGCCTCTCAGAACGTGATGTTTCATTGCGACAATCAGTCGGTTGTACACATTCTTTCGTCTGGCACAAGTCCTAGTTCAAACGCCAATCTATGCCAAAATCTTGGATGAGTTGAAAGAGAGGGCATCAGCTAGAGGTAACAAGTTCACAATGAAAGCCAACCAAATGAGAACCAAATTCAAGAAGTGTGTTAGCCAGTATAAACAAGCTGCCCTCACCCAAAAGACAGCAACAGGGATAAAGAGGTACCAAGAAGACCATGGATTTGGCAAGTGGTTCAATGCCTTGTTGGACGTGGTGAAAACAAGGGACTCGTGCCGACCAGAACGGGCTGTAGAGCCATCAACATCTTCATCATCACCTCCATGTACCCCTGAAAGTTCTCTTTATGACCCTGACAATGTTGATGATGAAGTTGAGATGTTTGTTCCCAAAAGATCTGCGAAGAAAGGGAAATCTAATAAAGATAAACTTGATATCAACCAATCATTGGAAATGAGAATGTTGTGTGGAGAGTGAAGTATGCACACGTCGCTAAGGGCTCTCGTTTTGGTTGCGTTTTATTGCGTATTGGCACTCTCTAAATTTAATGGAACTACAACTTCTTCTTCAGTTTCGCCTTGGTATCAACATGGAGTTGGTTGCTTTGGTCTTGGCGTTTTTTTCGCAAATATCTTGCCATCTTCAGTTCGCATTGGCGTGCGTGCTAGATCTGTTGGTTTTTGCTGCACCAAATTCTCCTTAGCTAGATGGTCGAAACACGGTTCTACCTGTTTAGTTATTGCTGGACATGACCCCCCGCTGGATATTACTGTCTGGATGGATATTTCTAGAAATCCAGGTCCTACAAACGATTTATTTGATATCTGCTCTGGCGGTCAAAATCTGGTTCATGGCGGAAATTTGCATATTTCAAGTTCGACTCGAACAATAAGCACATCAAATAATGGACCGAGAGCAAGGTTTGGAATTCCATCGCTGATTACAATGCGGCCGAATGTCACCTCTGGTTATAATAGGCCAGTATTTCGCACGCTCGCGGACGTTCCTATTGATATATCATAGTGCTCTTCACTTCGAACTAACTTAATGAAACTCTGTAATTTGAATGCAAGATCTATCAAAAGCAAATCTGCGGACTTTCTGTGCTATGCTAAATCGTGCGCTACGGATATTTTCGCAATTACTGAAACCTGGTTCATCGAAAAAGACTCAGCTCATAGAGCGGAGGTGACTCCGCCAGGCTAGATGTTATATGATCATGCGAGATCTGGTCGCTCCGGGGGTGGTACAGCTTTATTGTGCCGTGACAGTATTAGCGTGACGAGAATCGCGGCTGGCGAGAAAAAGTCATTCGAGTTCTCTGAGTGGATCATTCTTGGTCGGGGCTCTCGGAAAGTCCGCGTCGTTGTTGTGTATCGCCTGCAGTATTCTTCTCATCCTGTGTCTGTTGATGTCTTCTTTGAGGAGTTTTCAGCCTATCTGGATTCAATCATCCTTTCCTCAGAGCCGTTGTTGATAACTGGCGATTTCAATATTCATGTAGATGTTGTCGGGGATCCTGTTCGCGCGAACAGCATGTTACTACGCCAACTCACGAATCGGGGCGAACATTGGATCTAATTATCACACGGCAATGCGACGTCCTGGTCAAGGATCCACCTGTTAGTGATTATCATATTTCTGATCACTGGTCTGTTACTTGTTTGCTTAATCTCGACAAGCCAACAATCACCAGGAAGACGAAAACGATACGGAAGATTAAGAACATCGACACTGCTGCACTGTCTAATGAGCTTGCTGCTTCAGATTTGTGTACTAACACTCCAGACGATCTCAACGATTTGGTGCACTGTTAGAACACCACTCTTGCGTCTGCATTAGACCGTCATGCTCCACTTGTTACTAGATCTATTCCAGTGCGTCCTCTGGTCCCTTGGTTTAACAACGATATTAAGGAAGTGAGAAAGGAGAGGCGTAAGGCAGAGAGAAGATGGCGCCGCACTGGCCTCCTTTCTGATTTACAGAGGTATGAGGTCTTGAGAAATAAAACCAACAACCTTATGACGGAGACGCGCAGGGTGTTTTACAGAGAACTCATCGATGAGAACTGTGGCGATCAGATGAGATTATTCTAGGTAACAAAGCGGTTGCTTGGTAGCGGTCGTGAAATTCAATATCCACCTTTTAAGGACAAAGCTGCTCTTGCCAATAAGTTCGGTGAATTTTTCGCCCAGAAGATTGTCACCATTCAGGGTAAGCTTGACGAAATGTCAGCTGACGTGTCACCTAGTAATCCTGACTCCCAGCCTGAAGTATCTTCGATTGAGCCAATGACCAGTTTTACTCTGATCACTGAACATGAAGTACGGAAATTGATTGAGGCCATGCCCAAGAAGTCATGTGCGCTTGATCCTATGCCAACTCCCCTTCTTGTTGCCTGTATTGACACTCTGCTCCCTGTTTTAACCAAGATCATTAATCTTTCACTGCAGAATGGTATATTTGCTGACCAGTGGAAATGTGCCTCGGTCCATCCCCTGTTGAAGAAGCTTGGACTGGAACCGATTTTTCAGAATTTCAGACCAGTCAGTAATTTACAATATAGTTCCAAACTTACAGAAAAGGCTGTGTTCATACAGACGCATGGTCAGTTGGTCACCCATAACATCTATCCAGAGCTGCAGTCGTCTTATCGTGAACACCATAGCACAGAGACGGCCTTGCTCAAGGTTGTCGGCTTGCAGGGTAAAGCGCATGACTGGTTCCGCTCGTACCTGTCTGGTCGGAGTCAACGAGTCGTAATTGATGGATCGATTTGAAAGGAATTTTCTCTGGACTGCGGTGTTCCCCAGGGTTCCTGCCTGAATCCACTGTTGTTCGTTATTTACACCTCTTTCCTCTTCAGGATCATTGAACGTCACCTTCCTCAAGTCCACTCCTACGCCGATGACTCCCAACTCTACCTTAGCTTTAGGCCGGGTTATGATGATGCCCAGGATGTTGCGCATCGCGCTATGGAAGCATGTATTAAGGACATTCGAAAGTGGATGATTGATGGGCGGCTGCTATTGAACGACACGAAGACTGAGTTCCTTGCTATCGGAACTCGTCAGCAGTTAAGCAAACTCCGCTCTTCTAGCATAGAAGTTGGCAACCAGAAGATTGATCGTTCTTCCACTGTCAGGAACCTCGGCGTTATGTTAGACAAATCTCTCGAGATGAACAGCCATATAAACCAGATATGCAAGACCTCCTTCTACCATATTCATAACATTAGGCGTATATCGAAATACTTATCTAAGGAATGCAGACAATCATTAGTCCATGCTTACGTAACTTCAAGGCTGGATTATTGCAATAGTATATTATATGGGTTACCCAAGTACCAACTATCGAAATTACAACGCATACAGAATATGGCAGCCAGGCTTATAACGGACACAATGAAATTCGATCATATTAAACCGGTACTTTACAACCTTCATTGGCTGCCAGTAAATTATCGTATTCAATTTAAGATCTTGATGATTACTTTTAGGGCGATTCATGGCATGGCTCCTAGTTATTTAAGTAATCTGATCTGTATCAGATCATCGTCTAGGTATTCATCACGCAATAATGATACAATATTTTTAGAACGCCCAAAAGGGGTTATGCGCACAACTTTAGGTGCCCGCTCGTTTCATGCCTCTGCGCCTGCGCTGTGGAACAGCTTGCCTGCGCACATCCGCACGATTGATTCGCTAGCGCTATTTAAGAAATCTCTTAAGACCTATCTTTTTAAGCAAGCGTTTTAGATTCGCATTACAATCTTATCGGTATTTTGTATCTTATTTATTTACTTTTTATTCATTCATTCTTTCATTATATATTCATTTACCATCATTATTTTATTTTAGTATTGTTATTGTAATTATCTATTGTAATATTAGTTTTCTTGGATTGTAAAGCGCCTTTGATCATCCCATAAATGTTAAAGGACGCTCTATAAGTAAATAAATCAATAATTAATTAACAACCAGGAAGTAATACAACTCATCTAGGAGGCTGTAAGAAATGACCCCACCAAAGAAATGATCAGCTTCCTAAGGGATGAAATGGAAAAGTCCCGCGAGCATGAGTTACAGCTATTTCAACTCATGCTTGGCAACAGAGCCAATTCAGGCATGCCTCTATCATCCAGTACGGAGACAGGGTTTTACCCATCATGGAATCAGGGGTTCTGGGTATCACAACACAAGGTTTTACCCATCAATGCCAAGTTCTCGAGGAGCACAGCAGACCACCAAGGAAAGGATGTCTGAAGTTTCTTATGGAAACCCTATCCTATATATTCATATATACTTCAACCACAGTCCTTCCCACATGGCCAGTTATTATTTGCAAAATCACTGACATACCCAAATGGGAAAACACACCAGTGCAAAACAAAACCAGAAAAGCCATAATTGAAAGCTCTTGACACTGGAAATTTGCTTTTTGGAAGAATAGGGCTTTCTGTTTCAAAACTCTGATTTTCAGCCATTTTTAAATGAAAATAGTTGGATGTGGATTGGAAATGTGCCAAGAAAGCTGTTGAAAAGAACTCTCTAATATAGTGTAATAGTTCGCTATTGCAACCTTGTATGGACAACATGAACAGAAAATGTTTCAGGGTGCATGTGTCTTGACTAAAGAGTTAATATATTTGTTGTTGTTATGGTTTAGACAAGTGAATCACGAAAAAAATAATTGCTAAAAAGGAAAATTCTTTCTGATTAATTTTTACATACAATTTAAACTTATGATAGAAATGATCTCTGGAAGTATATATATGTATCTATAAAAATAAGTATTTGCACATTGTTTGTTAATCCTACCAAAGTTCTGTTATTTTTGTTCCAGTTAGATATGTTGTATGGAATGATTACATGAAGTATTTTCAATATATCTTCTATTACTCAATTACATCATAATATATTGCAACCAGAGGATTTTTTCACTGAAAAGCAATTAAACCTTCAAGCCTAATTACCATGCTATATGTGCAAATTTTCCTTACTGGTCTCATGTTTCCTTTAGTACTAGTTGAGGGAATTTGTTATCGAAGTTCAAGGCAGTGTCTATTTGGTGATACCTTCCTTAATTCCCACAACCTTTCTTATGACTATGCTGATACTGTGAAGAGAAAATTAAACTTGATCAATCTTGGAGCATAAAGGGCTTTAAGTAACAAAACTTTATTAGCAACTTTTAGCTTGTTCAGATTGAAGGTTGTGTCAGGTGCACAATCCATATTCATCCTGTACTTGATAAAATCATATGACAATAATTTGGTGAAAATACAGATGATTTAAATTAACAGACTCTGTCAGTTTCCTTCTCAAGCCATAGTTTTTCGCATAGAGCATTCTGGACTTTATTTGCCTCCACTGAGACATCCCTGATGCTTGAGCAATTTCTCCTCTGCAACAGCTTTCTTATTTCCTCTCGATTTCTCTTTTGAACATTTGTATCCAAACTCAAGTCAAGCTTTTTGAAATTTCATCTCCTTGTGCAATGCATACTAATGTAGTAATGCAGGCATTACCTTGACTGCTTTCATTCTTTTGAAGTAACACCTTCCACCTACCCTTGAGTTACCTATAAGCACCCTCTGTGACCATACGGGCTCTGCTTAAGTGATAATTAAAGTTACGTTGCTGGGGTGTCAGAACTGCATTGATGTATGGTTTCGTTAACCATGTGCACATAGGGAATGCAGAGTCTCCCACTAGAAGTGGTGGGACAGTAACATTGCCTACAGTTTTTCCAATTACAGGAAGGAAGCCTTCTTGGATGCGGGTCCAAAGGTCAGTGGATCTAAATATGACTGCATCGTGAGCACATCCTGGAAACCCACAGTTACATCACACAAATCTGTAATGTGAATCTACCATTGCCATTAGGACAATAGAGTAGAAATTCTTAAAATTATGGTACTCTTTGCATGCCTGAAGTCCTCCAGGTGGGCATTTCATGGGAATATGACAACCATCTATTGCTGTCCAGCAGCAAGGAAATTTGAAAAATTCTTCCATGTCCAGAATTTTTTGTTTGAACTCCTCTTCCGTCTGAGGCATGTGAGTTGACACAGTCTCATTTCAGAAATGGTCCACCAGGACTTAACAGATTTCCTGACAGATTGAGGAGACAGTGGAGACGCCTAGTCCAGACATTTCTGAAATGGTACAGAGATAATCTCCTCTGCCTAGTCTGTACAGACAATTAGCAAGCCTCAGTGCTGGCGTTATCGGTTCTTCCGTCACAGTTTGCCGAACAAGTAAGGGTGCAATACGGTTCAGAATGAAATTAAATGTTTCCTGGGACACTCTGAAGGTTTTCTTGAACCTTGCATCTGAATACGTATTGCGAACATTCTCCCATCAGCCAGTATTTCTTTTCAGCCGACGACAAGAACGAACTTGACGAGGAACTGGGATGTTCCTTTCGGAAATCAGCAATAATAGAAGGCAACCCAAATTCAAAAATCGCTTTCTCCTGGCAACGAGGCTGCTTAACACTAACTGCATCTGAAGTCGCCTTCTTCTACCCTCCTTGATCGCACATGCAAGAAAAACGAAGCTCCTCATTTCCGCAATTTGCCTTTCCCGCAATTTTTCCCCCATTTTAAGCCAATAACCGCTGACTACAAAAGTGTCATGTTCACTTTTGCAATTAAGTTCGAGCCAATTAGGTTCGACGTTTGAATCAACTGCCGAACACAATTATTTGGGTCGACCCAAACTGGTATTAGGTTCGGCACATGTAAAGTTTGACGTTTGAACTGCGCCTTACTCTCCTTGCTCAAGACAAACGATAATTGAATATACCTAGGTCCTCTTTAATATTCTTCCCTGGATAGGGACGCAACAGCCAGGGTTAAGTGCAAAGATTTCATCGCCAAGAAATAGGAACAAGAGGTAGGCTGCATCCTAGAAGACGGTCTGGCTCGGGTATTGATATGGACCCATCCTCAAAGGCTTTTCCCATTTCAGAGTTATTAAGCCACTGCTGTCATTTGTACTACCGTATTGGCCAATATCAACTAAAGTAAAGTTACAACTTGCATCGCACACATTCCCATCAATCGCCCCGATACAGTGCGGCAGATGCCAAGTAGATTCAAGTAGATTCAAAGTCCTTTGAAATGTTCTTCAAGTCGCTGGCGGATTTAGGTGGGCCTACATATTTATCCTTCAATGCCAGCCAAATAGCATAGAGTGTTTCTTTGATAATGTGACTCACAGTTGTTCTGCGAATTCTATATGAGAAGCTGAGGCTCTGTTGGTCATCACCACTTGCCAAATACCGGAGCGTCAGTATTAGTCTTTCAGCTGCACTGATAGCCTCTCTCATCCTTGTGTTTGTTTTGGTAATTCGCGGTCCAACCAGGCTCAGTAAGTGCTCAAAGCGTTCTGGCGTCATGCGCATATATCTAAATGGCGTGAAATTTGCATTTATTATCTTTCCAAAATGCACAAATAGCCGTAACAAATTTAAACTTGTGAGCTTGACTGTAAAATTACGAAATTAAAAGTTAAAATATTCGAAACCTACCGAAAGTAGAATTCACGATCACCAAGTCGTAGTTCGCTGACGAGGTTAGCATACTCTCCCAAAGCTGCTCGACGTCGATAGATATCACGAACCCACTTTCTTTTTCGAACGATATTATTCCTGTATTGTCTCTGCCTGCGCAATATAATGATTAATAAGAGCCAAAGCACAAGTTGCTCTTCGTCCGCCCTGTTGTCTTGGCGCCAAAATTTGTACTTTCGCGGGCCTGGAATCGAGCATCGAGATTGGTTTATTCTTCCGCTTCCGACTTCGACAATGCAGTTTTCACTAGATCGTAAGCGATGGAGTCATAGGCAGAATCGGTGTTCTGCTTCCGACTCCGTCGGTTTCATTTTCACTAGATCGTATCGCTCTACGCTTCTGATTACGACTCCGACTAAGACTCCGTCGCAAGTGAAAACCAACCTTAAAGGGGCAGTATCATGGGAGATATCATTATTTTTGGCCAAAATTTAAAGAAATATTAATAGTGCTTCTAAGACGAAAGGTTGAATCAAAGTATAGTGCAAGAGATTTTTAGTGAGTTACAACAGCGAAAATGATGGCCTGACGTTTTCAAATTTGAACCCACCTTTATCTTGTTGACACAGAAACAGACTTTTGAATTCCAGTGTATGTAGTGAAGATATGATTGGTGCAAGTACCAAACAGCTGCCTTAAAATTATATTTTGTAATATAGAACAACAATTCATTGTTAGTCAAGCTTGAACTCATGAATAAAATACGAATAAAATTTGAAAGGTTACTACACAACACATCTTGTTGCTGTTTTAAATATTGTGGGTCTAGGATACTTTGGAGAAAATAGAATTAAAATAGACCATTTAATAAATATTTTGCAAAGGAATAGAGTCCACCTCAAAAAATGGAAATACAATGGTGTATTTTAAACCTATTCTGTCACTATTCAACATTTTCTTTGATACAATAGGACTGTGATAACCTACTTTTTTCATATTTTCCAAAGGAAACGGTCATAGCATGTCCTATCAGTGGAAAATATAAGTAAAACAGCCTATTTTAGCACTACTCTACTGATGTAGGAAATACAAATAGGATTAAAATGGTCTGTTCCGCTTGTTTTGAGAAAATAGAAATGAACTAAAACACCTTGTTCAATCTTGCCTTAAAATAGGTTTAAAATAAAAGTAAAACACAATTAAAATGGTGGCTCCATTTTCCCTATCAGGTAAAATGGGAATCAAATATAAGTCTGAGAGAAAAAATAGTATAAAAATAGATATGATAGCATCAAAATAGACATAAAATATAAATGAAATGGGATTGTTTTTGCAAGGGTAACCAACTCATTTCCAATTTCATCATTTTTTTATCATTTCTTCAAATAGTACAACAGCACTTGCGAAGAAATTCTCAGTCGCACTAACAGATAACTCATCTCTGAAAATCAGTTGTTTAGGATCTCGTTACTTTTGTTTGAAAAGACAAATCAAATTGCATCAATGGATGTAATGAACTATAGTCAGCCAAATTTAAGTATGTTCCTGTGTCGTAATCATCGTTTCTTATTGCATATGACATTAAATCATTCAATATCCTCCCTTTAGATTCAGTCATACTCTATTTCCATTTTCCATTTGACAGTTTGACAACGAAACCCCTCCATCCGAGGAAAATGTGTTAATGTATAAGGAGTTTTTTCCTCCTGACAATGATTGTTTGCATCTCTATGCGGATTTTTTTTAGAAAAACAAATACAAGTTTGACATTGTCTACACCGGGTGAAATTTGGAAGAACTCTGATCATTTGGGTGGACATTTAACCTCATTAAAGTTTGCTCCACCATCTGTACTGCATTTTATTAACTGATTATTGTTGCCTGGATTTATATCAGACCATGCAAAAGACATGTGTTAATCACTATTTAAGCCAATAGCATACTCATAGCTGTTGTTCCATATGATCAGTTTTATGAATTAGGTGACAAAATTGGCAGGATTATTATTTCTTGTATTTTTCATAGAATACAATGATAATACTCTCTCTTTCCATATATTATAATATTGGATTATTTTAAATTTTGAAATACATTTTATACAATTTTTCATACAGAGGTTTATTGATTGTAAATGTTTTTAACAGTGTATGTAATATTGAAACCTCCATGTTTTGCGTCTCAATTGATGTATTAACAGCTATTATTTCACCAACAATTATTTCAAATTTTTTTTGGAAGCTTTTTTTGGATCATCCAAAAGTATCACATTTCCCACCTGTCTTTTTTCTGATTCCAGATCCTTTTTTTTGTTCTAAGTTGATTTTCATAATAACCAATATATTGATTTAAAACAACTCTAGCATCATCTTCTTGTTTGATTTTCATATTTTGTTCTGCATCTTTTATAAATCCCTTTTACATGCTTGAATAATCTGGGATTTAATACATATTAATTGATTTTATTTGTTCTTGCTTGATTAATAACCTTTTTAACAAATTATTTAGCATTAGTATCTGTCATTTCAGACCTATTTTGTTGTTTCTCTTCATCATCATAATTTTTAATATACATTTCATCTAATATTGTATTAATCTGGTTGTCTTCATCTAAAGCATGTCAATCTCATCATCTTCTTCATATGCTGGTGGTAACTCTGGTTCTTCAGGAAAGTATTGAGGGTCAACATAAATTTTTTAGATCAATACCAGTATCTGGGCAACTGCCCACCTACCCCTCCCCTAACCCAACATTAACCTTAACTTGTTATCAATTGACTGTTGTTGAGTTAGGGGAAGGGTAGGTGGGCAGTTGCTCAGATACTGATATTGATCCAATTTCTTTATATCCTTCTAAATTATCCATGAGACTTTCTTCATACGTGGGTGGTTTTGGGAGTAATTGTTTTTCTTGTTAAGGTTGAACACCTTCATCAACTTCATCAAATAGACCTTCCAACTCATAATTATTAATTTCATCTTCAATTGATATACCATCTCCAACTGATATGTACTGCTGAAACAAATCTCAATTGCTAGGTAATTCTGTACGCAGAAACAATAAGGCTGAGCCATAAAGAGGTTCTTTCCATAGATTTTAATGGTAATGTTGAGTTAGAAACTTCATCATCTTAACATGAATACTTGGCACCAGGAACACACTATTGAGGAACCTCATGCTTACTAATGCTCCAGCCATGTTGATGTTGAGTTATTTACCTTGGTTAAATAACTGATTCATGTGAATCCCTCTGATCAATACCATGCAATAAAACAACAGCAGATCACACATTAATGAGTGATGGTCAGAAACCTAAACTTAGTAATGTGGAGGCTTTAAACAAAATGCTGATACCAGAAGATGTTGCTGAAAGTCAGTAATAGTTTTGTTCACCAATTAGCAAAATTCCTTCCACAGCTGTTGGAATTTGTGGAGCCTAAAAACCACCTGATAAGACAAGATGTGGCAATGTTCTGATGTGCCAGACAAGGTCACAAGCTATTATGATCCCTCCAGTGAGCTTACCATCCATTGAAATACAAGCCAGTGGCCACCAACAACTTTTCTATGATGAAGCCAACCATTGAGTTTGCAAGCTGAATAGAACCAGAGAGAAAGAAATGCTGGCTATTTTCTTTCCTCTTGAGTGGTCTAACTGGTAGAAATTTAGTTCTCCAAGTCAGTGTAGGGAGCAATTGCAAACCACAATTTACCCTTTTCGGAAGAGCTCTGTCTAAGAAAATTAAGGCTGTGCATCTACTGGCCCACACAAGGTGGAGACCAAGAATATAATGGTGTACTGGAGAAATAGCCAGCATCTGAAAAGACTCAGTCACCAATTTATCCCATTCAATCAGATCAGGTGGATGACCTCAACATTCCCAAGTCAGCCATGCCTAACAACCCTAACTTAACTGCAGAACCAGCTAACAAATAATTGGCATCAACTTCAGATGACAGCAGTACTGATCAGCACCAGAGACTACATCACAACAGATGACTACCAGTGTACCTGAATGACTAACACTGTCCATGAACAACCATACCAATGTACTTATAGGCTTTAACCCATTGTTAGAATTTGCAGACTGATAACCAGCCATTTTTTATCAGTTGAAGTGTTATTTTGGACTTTGGACTTGCTTTTATTTTGTTTCAACTGGGTAGACGATGTTATTTGTCTCTTTAGTAAGACTTACTGTACGTATAGAATTTGATAACTACAACTTAATAGATTTGTTAGGTGGACCTATTACATACAGCTTGAAGTAGCATGCAACAGACAATCAAAAGAAACACCACTTGACAGGATAAAGGTGCAAAAAACATGCATCCAGTATGCAATAGTAAACTGCAAAAAATGTGGCAATGAAGTAGTCACAAGTGAACAAGTTGTGAAGAAATATAATAAAATTTCAGAAGGTTCTAGCATTCAACATCACACACACAGCTATTATGTGACACAACCAAGCCCTAAAACTGCAGCGTTATTTTTTCTGGTCTTTTTTCCTCTTAATTTGGCTTTCATTCTCAATTCTTTCAATTGGCCATTTGTAAGTTCAGTGTTTGATTACTCTTGAATTAAACTTTTGGTGCACTCTAATGGTCTAATCTCCTCTCTAGTTTAACATGTTTTAACATAAAATTCAGTAGGTTGAAGGTCGAAAGTACCCTGAAGCCACACTGGTTCAAGGGTTTTTTGCGAAAGGCATGTGATGTCCTTTACTGGCCTGGACAGGCCACTCAGTGGTCATTGCAACCTACTAACCTGGACTCAAAATCAAAATGTGACAACACCCACAAGAAAAACAAACAGAAAGAACCTGTAGGATTAGGTTTTGCATTGCATGCTGGGTTGAAGGTCGATCATCTTGAATAAACCTTGTTCTAGTTT